GGCTTTGCCGGCAGGCCTGGGGTTGATGAGTTCCCCTCCCCTCTCGACCTATGTGGTTGTGTGATTCTTGGATATTTTAACTACTTGTATTGTGTTCTATGTTTCCCTTTTCCCCCTTGAGTTGTTCGCCGCCCTGAGTCCCTCCCGGAGAAGGTCGGCATACAAATAAAATAAATCTAAATCTAAATCAAATATTTGGATCAGATTCCTGTCAGAACAAAACAGGACTTGTTACCTTAATTTCTGCCAGCAGTGTATTCATCTAACCTGCCTCCTTTGCTAACAAGATAAATATTGGGCATTATTTTGTGGAAATGCAGCCTCAGTTATGGCCCATTTATTTTTTTTCTTGTTAGCAATACATTCTTTAAGCTCTTTATCAAGTGCTGGCAGATGGGTGCTCTATTTATCACTGCTGCATAGGAAATGAGGAAATTAACAGAGCCTGTCAGACTCAAGACACATAAATTAGGTGTGCCTCTGTTCCTGAAAAAAATAACAGATTATGCTTCTGTTTCCTTGAACCTTTAAAGTATCCTTAATCAGGAATGGGCAATCTTTTGGTAACTGATGGCCGCACAAATCTTTGAGTTGATGTTGAAAACAAAGTGTAAAAAGCAGTGTATGAACTTTTGGTTTTTTTCTGCATTTTTTAAAAAGAACTGTAAGGTCTTTATTCTTTTAAGCCAGAGTCACAATTCATCCTCCTGATTTTCTGAAAGACCAGAGATCATTCATTGGTTGTTATAATTGAGGAAATGTAACTGGATGTATGTTATGCAGATATTTCTGTCTTTAGCAAAGGGGAGTTTAAGAATAATGAAGGGGAGAGGAGCCCTCCCAAAGGCTAACTGCTCCTATTCCAACTCTTAAAAGCACTTTAAGTCCTGAAAAAGTTATGCCAAAATTCAGGAATAATTGCAGCTAAATTTCAGTGGAATGACTTTGGGGTGAGGAGAGGTGGCTATCCATCCATTATATTGAACCTGTTTTAGAGAGTATACTAGTTTCTTACATTTTATCTAAGTCATGACTGACTTCTCATTTTCTTTTTCCTATTTCATTGTCCTTTCCTTTTGAGATAATTGCATATGGTGTATTTCTACTCTTCCTCATGAATATGGCTCCATGGTTTCTTTCTTGCAAAATACTAGCACTTCTCACAAAAAGCAATAGTGTTTTTTCTTGTATCCTAGAAATGAACACTCAGCTACCAATCTGCTAGCCTGTAATGTTAGGGTAATAAGGTACAATGGGCAGTGGTTACTAAGGAATACATAACCTTTAACATTCTTGGTATGGAAATAAATTATCAAAAAATACAGCAGACGAGAGCCATAGAAAATGAAAAGTCTGAATAGGGTAGTTAGTGGGGACTAACTTATCAGTAGAAACAACAAGACCAAAGCTACTTCCTAGATAATAATTTATTGGGAATTATCATTCAAAACAAGTTAGAGCTATGATGACAAAAGGCCTTTGGCAGCAGGATTTGCCAGCCCAGGAAGAGCCTGTGGTTGTAGCTTGGAAAGAAGTAGAGACATGCCCTCTTCTTTGTTGGGATGTTCAGAACTAGAAAAAGGCAAGGGGAGAGAAGGATGTTCTTCAGTGACTACAATGACAGTGTCATTAGCAGAAGCTGGAGTTTCTTCTTGTACTTTGGTCTGTTCATCAACTGTAGTAGAAGCAAGACCTTCTTCTTGTACTTTGGTCTCTCCATCAATTTTAGCAGAGGAACGATGTTTCTGCCAGCGACGGCGAAAGCAATAGCAACAGCTGCAAGAGATGGACAGAGATGCACTTAATTAGAAACATGTGAACCCCAAAAGACATCCACACCACTGTTTTCCCAAAACAACATTCTCTTTCCCATGAGTTGTGTTTTTCAATTCTCTAGGAACCTACTGTATATAACCTTTTACAAAGCATAGTAAGAAATATCATATACTAACAAGTTTTGTAATGAATTGCTAACATAAAAGAAAGTTTTAGGTAATTATACCTAAATTATCTGATTAGATAATTATAACTACTGTAAATCATAATTCTTCTTTAAACTGATTCATTTAAACTGATTACTCATAAATCTATCTGGCTATGAAATTTTACAAGAATGAAATAAGATAGGAAATGAGAATAGTCAGAACTTACATCATAATGAGACAGAGGCAACCAAGTGGAGGCACGACAAAGGCTATCATCACTACAGAAAATCGACGTGAAGGAGGGACTATATGAAGACAGATTAGGGGATCCTCAGCATTCAAAGTCAAGCCTCCTATACAGTTATAGTATGTATCCCAATTAAGTATTATATATGGAAGGAAACAGGAAACTAGGGTACATAAATATTGGGACCAAGCGCTCCAGTGAATCTACATGTGTGTTCTTCTATGTTCACCTGCTACTTTTTCATTTCCACTTATTACTGTATAAATCTTCCCAAAACTAGTGTTCTTCCCATGTGTTAAGACTACACATGTATTAAGATTTGCAACTAGGACAGTAAACTACATGTTTGTTTTTTTTAACAAGATTATTAAAAAAAAAAATAGAGCCTTGGAAACTATTTTTCAGACACCTCCATAACTATACTCACAGACTCATGGAATATCTCACCACTTCCTTCAATTTATGTCACTGAAAGAAAAACACTGGGAGGCCAAACAAGGCCCAATGTTAACTCCATTTATGCTTTTAGCATGGAGTTCTTAACATGCATAAGTAATGTTAGTAGGGCTATGGGGTTGCTTATGATTATGACTGAAACAAGAGAAACAAAATTGAATCCTTTTCCTGCTGAAGTCCTGAAAATTCCTTCTGAAGGTAGTATTTGTATTTTAAAAAATAATAAAAAACTGACTGCCAATAAATGGGACTCTAAGGAAATATCCAATCTAATACATACCTCTCATATTCATGCAGTCTGCAGATGTTCTGGCACCAGGGTGAGAGGTAAGCCAATTGTTGTTGCATGAAATACAGATGATTGTCCCATAGTGCAAGCTATAGCTCCCAATTGGACAGAGAACACAGCTGTCAGTGGTAGCCACACTGTATGTTCCAGGAGGGCACAAAGCTGTTCAGAAAATTGGCAGATAAAGGGAAAAAAGAAAGGCTAAAGTGAAAAGAACAAATGTCATTTTTCCATTAACCTAATGTGTAGGGAGCAGAGAAGTTGAATTTCAATGTTGACCACATAAGGGCAATTCCTAGCAGGTATCTTTTTAGAAAATATGAGCTCTTCTAAACATTTTTTAAAGGTCTTGATTTGGAGGAATCATATGCAGTACATGCTGATAAATAGGTAAGTCCCTACATTTGGACAGAATCTGCCTGGGTTCCAAGATACACCTGACAGAGCTACAGAAACATTATATGAAAAAGAAAGACAAGACAAAGATATAGGAACAGAATGGGTAAAAGACTTCCCACAGCATAGAGAGAAACAGAAGTTTATAGACCAAAGACAGTTTCTGAAGACAGTTGAGGCAGTAGCTTTTGGATCACCTGCTTAACTCACTACAGCAGTCGGGACAGCGTGACTGTAGCTCCTGTGTCTGTCCATAACCCTCGTGGCACTTTCCCTCTTCTAAGAAATTGAAAAAGGTATTGACAAAAGAAACATCCGAACCATTTGATGTTTCCAGAGAAAAGTTTTTATTCTTATCCATAAATTCAGTCATGGCTTCCTTGGCCTGTAAAGCAAAGGGTCAAGAAAAGAAAACTTTTGGAGCCACAAAGTGAAACAGATAACCATTTCCCTATGAGTGTGTGTATGTATGTTTGTGAGTAGTTGAAAAAAGAAGTAAAGAAAAAAGTGAACAGAAAATTTAGGAGGTCAGCAATTGCTGGTAATATTATGTATATTCCATAAAAGTGACTAGGCAAAACTTAGTTAATTGCATACTAAATGTCTTATGGATAAAAGCATGCATCAACTGTTTCAACAGACTTGCTGTTTGATGTTCTTGATTCCCACCCCACAGTATATAGCCCCACCATTATAGATCAATTAAGTATCAACTATTAGTTTGAGGATGCAAAATGCATATTCACAGATTCTGATTACACGGATGTGTAGTGACAAGAGCAGAACAGAAAAAACTATGCATCCTGTTGACCTTTGCCAGCTATGGTTGATCCAAGTACATGAAACCTCTTGTTGCATTTTGAAAGACAAGCTTTCTAGCAGGCATTTGGTGAAAATGTAACTAGCTCTAAAACCCAGTAAGTCATTTCCTAGTGGGACAAATTACAAACCTCCTGTAGATTTTTCTGGACTGCCGAGTGGTAACATTCTAATGCCATTGAATCAATCTGAGGGTAGCAGGATTTATCCCAGTCCTTTCCAAATGGAGTTACTGAAAAACAAAAATACATTACTATTCTTGTACTGTTCTTCTCTGCTCTAACCAAGATTCTCTTATTTACCACCACACAGAGAATCCAAACATCATGCGATACTGCAAAATAATAATACGCAAAACATTTTCATCACAATCTTTTTTGGACGGTGTTCTGGGTTCTTTGGAGAAGAAATGCTTTGTAAAATCAATTGACAGTATACTACTTGCTTTCCCCCATGAAGATTTGCATGCATGAAGATTACAGTGGCTAAACTTTAGAGAGTTGGACATGGTGGCTCAGTGGCTATGATGCTGAGCTTGCCCATCAGAAAGGTCGGCAGTTCAAATCCCAAGTGCTGCATAACAGAATGAGCTCCCGTTACTTGTCCCAGCTTCTGCCAACCTAGCAGTTTTCTGCATGAATCTTTCCTATGCTAAATAAAGTTCACTTTCTCCCCAAAGTACAACTGAAATATATCTTCCTGATTTCATCAGGGAGTCTCCAAACTGTATCCCTTTGTGGCTCTGACCTTTTAGCTCTACTTGGAGGTTGAACTCATCCAAAGGCTTCTCCACAGTAGGAAAGCAAGTGGTGCTCCCAGAAAGGAGCTCACAACGGAGGTGGAACACCAATTGACTCAGTTGTGCATGTAGAGTTCTCACAAATTCACGTGTCAATTGCTTATCACATGAGTTACTCTGAAAAATCAGGAGGACCTCTAATTCGCCACGTATGTGATACCCTGAGAAAAGGAACAAAATTAAATTTAAATTTAAAATTCACTACAAGATATTGAATGCACCATATCATAGCAATTAGGAAGAAAAGATCAGATTCTAAATTCTGGAAACCAATAATGAATTCTTAAAAATTTGAAAAGGTATGTTGGCATTTGGCTAGAGGATCCAGTCACAGGAAAGCTGTTTTCTTCATACTTGTTTCTGAAAAACATTTTCTTCCATAATCTCTCCATATAATCAAATAAATCAAATCAAACATTGTTCTCTCATCAAGCCTCCATAGCATTGGTTTCCTGTTGTTTAGCTATCCTTCATAACAGCAGGGATATACTCACCCACCACTGTATGAGAGAAAGTCATAGTATGGAGCTGGTCTTCCTCTGTGAAAGAGATAGAACAGGTATAGCGTCCACTCTCCTCAGCACGGAATTCATGCAAAATCAGGGAGGCACCAGAATGGAGAGTTAGGTTTTCTGGAAAGCAGACAATAAAGTCGTATCATTCAAGAATGGCAAATTCATCTTAGTCAATCCACCAAGGCACCTGCACTGAACTAGAAATTTTATTTATTCATTTATTAAAGAAATTTATATGGCTGCCCAAATCACAAGGAGTCACTCCTGAAAGCTTACAATATTCAAATTTCACAGTGTAAGAACCCATTACCCACTCCCCAGCCATTTAACAGTCCTTTTGGAAATGAATCTTCTCCGATACAAGCTCTTTCTCTTTGCCCAGTTCATGAAACCTTGAAACCTAATTACTCCTGATTTTATGACTATCCCACATAAAATCAGTTATCAACCTTACTTTTTCATATGCCTTCTCTAAAAATGTACCTTATGAAGTTTGAATTTAAAAATTAAATATAAATATATCATTAATCATATAATTAAATTACATGTTTGAAAATATTAAGTTTTCTCATGACTTATTCCAATTATTATTTTCCAGAGTCGAGTCTTAAAGATAAAAATGTATATTTCTCAATTATATAGAAAAAATAGCTATGTCAATGCATTGTTGTACTCAGTAATGTCATTCAAAGCAGCTGTTCCAATATTTTCTGCATTATAAAATAGATATTAGAAAAAAATGAGCCTAATCTATAGAATTGCCTAGATAAATATAGAAAAATTATTATTAAAATTAGAATTCTGATCAGCTTGGCTTTTTACCTGAGGAGTTGAAAAGCACATTTGCAGATTTGTCTTAGGGCTCAAATTGTATGTTTGTAGTTTATCCATCTGAACTGCAAAAAACTTGGGGACCACTAAATGATAGCAGAGTTATAATTTTCTGCATCTCTTAGTACCATCTAGTTTTGTATAATGTTTTTGTAGCCCAGGTATAGGGGCTGCCTTACTTAAATCTGCTTGTCTCACTGTCTCATTCCTCCTTACTTTAGAGCAATGTTGGTCTGCAATCAGTAACATCTGGGATGGCAGCCCATTAGGGAGGGCAGCCCATTAGTAAACCATCAAGGTAATTATAGCACTACCATCAGCACTTTTTAAGATTTGGATCCTGGAGGCAGAAATTGATTTGACAAGCTAAATTTCTTTCTCTAGACTGTAATTTTCATCTCTGTGTATGCACATTCACACACACAAAACTCAGAGGTGGATTGCTCCCGTTTCGTCCTGCTGCCATTTTGGTTTATAGTGACTGCACATGCGCAGTTCACTGTAAATTGTTCTGCACATGTGCGAAGAACAATTTACATTGAACAACATGCACACATGCAGTGTGCGTTGCACGTGGGTTATGGACTGGTAGTAAAACTGGCAGCAACCCATCCCTGACATAACTATTAGCAAATCAAACATTATACCCTCATGCTTTTGCCTAAGGAAGAAGTAAACTATGTGCCCTCCAGTTATTTAAAGTTATATATTTATACAGGCAATACATTAACAACATACTGAAAGGAATATCATGAAGAATAAAATACAATACAATAAGAAATTATTTCAGAGATATTTGCAGTTGTACATTTGTAATCTTTTGGAGGGATACAACATTTTAAACATATATATTCAATATTTCTGCTCAGAAAGGAGGCATAGATGAAGTTTATCTGTTGGAAATTTACTTTATTAATATAACTAATCATTTGAAACCAATTGTAAAAGTAGCAAATTTTAAATAATTTTTCAAAATTCTTTCTTGTGTTCACTTTTTCAGGCAACGTTACATTCCACACTTTTAAAATATACTGATGCAAAAAAAAAAAAAAAAGCAGCATATGTGAGACCAAGTTATACAATACAAGCAAACAGCCTAGTAGCTGATCCACGTACTATCAGAATAAGAGACAGGCACAAACCATCACTCCCATCCAAAGAGAATAGCCTCTAATGCATTATATTACAAGTATAATATTTGAACTTCAAATTTGAATTTAATAACATTTATATGCCACCCAATCCTGCAGGACTCCGGGCGGCTTACAATACAAAGTAAAATCAAAACAAAAATATAAGGAAAAGAAAAGATAGATTTAAAAACAACACTTCATGCACTCGGTTCTAGATGGGGCTGGACCGTATTTCGGGGTCAACAGCCCCAGGCCTGCCGGAACAGCCAGGTTTTAGTGGCTTTTCGGAAGGCCGAGAGAGTGGGAAGGGTCCGGATCTCTGCGGGGAGATCGTTCCACAGTGCCGGAGCAGCTACAGAAAAAGCCCTCCCCCGGTTCATGTAGACTTCTCCATCAGAGAAAAGCAACTTATTATCCACGTAGAAGGTCTTGCTGAAAAACAATTATTTTCAAGAATTCAAAATAGGCAAGTAACACAGACAAAGCTTTTTTTTTTTTAAAGCTTTTATTAATGATAATAACAGTGCCTAAAAGGACTGCGGTGCTATCTATGGAGAAGTTCTGTTGCATCATACAAGCGGCATTAAGAATATGGCAACTACTTTCCTCAGTCTGATCAATCAAATTAATTCTTATCCCCCGCCCCCAGTTTTTCTTATTCAGCGAGCCTTGAAAACATCCTTTCCCCCATCTAGTGCCTTCCGAATTTGCTGGGCAACAAA